GCGAAGACTGATAGGTTTCTAGTAGGGTCAAAAGAGCATCATGACTCCCCAGGGGGGTCTGGGCGGGATCCGGACGGGATCCGGACGGGAATCCAGGGACTCCCGCGGGAATCCGGGGACTCCTTTTTTTAGCCAACAGTAACGCACTTCGTGGTCTTCGAATTCCCAGAACGAAGACCACGAAGTGGCCTACAGTTGGCTCCGGGCATTCAAAATCATGCCCAGGAATGGAGTTCTGGGAACTCGAAGACCACGAAGTGGCCTACAGTGGGCTCCGGGCATTCAAAATCATGCCCAGGAATTGAGTTCTGGGAGCTCGAAGAACACGGAGTGGCCTACAGTTGGCTCCGGGCATACAAAATCTTGCCCAGGAATGAGTGCCCAGAACTCCATTCCTGGGCATGATTTTGAATGCCCGGAGCCAACTGTGGGCCACTTCGTGTTCTTCGAGTTCCCAGAACTCCATTCCCGGGCCACATTTGCTGCTTGCTGAGGCAGGCTGAGGCAGGCTGAGGCTGAGGCTGAGGCTGATGCAGGCTGAGGCTGAGGCAGGCTGAGGCTGAGGCCGAGGCTGAAGGCAGACTGAGGCTGAGGCTGAAGCAGGCTGAGGCTGAGGCTGAGGCTGAGGCTGAGGCTGAGGCAGGCTGAGGCTGAGGCTGAGGCTGATGAGGCTGAGGCTGAGGCAGGCTGAGGCTGAGGCCGAGGCTGAAGGCAGACTGAGGCTGAGGCTGAAGCAGGCTGAGGCTGAGGCTGAGGCAGGCTGAGGCTGAGGCTGAGGCAGGCTGATGCTGAGGCAGGCTGAGGCTGAGGCTGAGGCTGATGCAGGCTGAGGCTGAGGCAGGCTGAGGCTGAGGCCGAGGCTGAAGGCAGACTGAGGCTGAGGCTGAAGCAGGCTGAGGCTGAGGCTGAGGCAGGCTGAGGCTGAGGCTGAGGCAGGCTGATGCTGAGGCTGGCTGAGGCTGAGGCTGATGCAGGCTGAGGCTGAGGCAGGCTGAGGCTGAGGCCGAGGCTGAAGGCAGACTGAGGCTGAGGCTGAAGCAGGCTGAGGCTGAGGCTGAGGCTGAGGCTGAGGCTGCAGGCTGGCTGAGGCAGGCTGAGGCTGAGGCTGAGGCTGGCAGGCTGAGGCTGAGGCTGAGGCTGGCTGAGGCTGCTGAGGCTGAGGCTGAGGCAGGCTGAGGCTGAGGCCGAGGCTGAAGGCAGACTGAGGCTGAGGCTGAAGCAGGCTGAGGCTGAGGCTGAGGCAGGCTGAGGCTGAGGCTGAGGCAGGCTGATGCTGAGGCAGGCTGAGGCTGAGGCTGAGGCTGATGCAGGCTGAGGCTGCAGGCTGAGGCTGAGGCCGAGGCTGAGGCTGAGGCAGGCGAGGCTGAAGGCAGAGGCTGAGGCTGAGGCTGAAGGCAGGCTGAGGCTGCAGGCAGGCTGAGGCAGGCTGAGGCTGAGGCTGAGGCAGGCTGATGCTGAGGCAGGCTGAGGCTGAGGCTGAGGCTGATGCAGGCTGAGGCTGAGGCCGAGGCTGAGGCTGAGGCCGAGGCCGACGGCAGACTGAGGCTAAGGCTGAAGCAGGCTGAGGCTGAGGCAGAGGCAGGCTGAGGCTGAGGCTGAAGCAGGCTGAGGCTGAGGCTGAGGCAGGCTGAGGCTGAGGCAGGCTGAGGCTGAGGCTGAGGCAGGCTTAGGCTGAGGCTGTGACTGCGACTGCCGTCGCCACTGCGACTGTCATCGCGAATGCGACTACGACTGCGAGAACAACAGAATTCTACAACTGGATTCTCATCTGAATCTTAAGGGGAATGCTTCCAGATATGCTCCTACACATCGCTGTTAGGTTGCTTTGCCGGGATAACTCATCCTGAATGAGTTCAGGATGAGAGCAATTGCTTTCTGACGGTCACGGGGCCTGACTCTGGGGCCGAACATCTAGAAAAAACTCCCGTCGCGATTTTTTGTCTCAACCCGAGAGGGTCTGGGAACGGCCCCCTGAGGCCGAAACGGGCAACAACCCTGTCGAGACCCGAGTCGAAGTTCCTGATCGTGCCAAGAGGCCGGGCCTCGAGGCGGCAGAATGACAACCTAGGCAGCGGTGCCCAGGGAGCAGGAGGAGGAGGAGGAGGAGGAGGAGGAGGAGGAGGGGAGGAGGAGGAGGAGGAGGAGGAGGAGGAGGAGGAGGAGGAGGAGGAGGAAGGAGAGGGGAGGAGGAGGAGGAGGAGGAGGAGGAGGAGGAGAGGAGGAGGGGGAGGGGAGGAGGACAAGCTAGGTGCGCTCGCGTCATATCTGACGTCCTACCCCTCCCTCCCATCCCTTACCATGGCGCTGATTTTCTCTATCCGCGGACGCGTGTCGTAGCGGACCTGTGGCTCCGCGCGCGCGTGCGTAGTGGGTGGTGGTGCACGTGCGTGCGTGCGTGCGTGCGTGTGTGCGTGGTGGTGGTGGTGGTGGTGGTGGTGGTGGTGGTGGTGGTGCTGGTGCTGGTGCTCGTGCTGGTGGTGGTGCTGGTGCTGGTGGTGGTTGTGATGGTGGTGGTGGTGGTGGTGGTGGTGGTGGTGGTGGTGGTGGTGGTGGTGGTGGTGGTGGTGGTGCGGCGCGGTGGTGGCGGGCGGATGGGCGCGCGAGAAAGAGGCCCGCGCTGGGGCGAGAACGCCATGCTGAACGACGGAGGCCAAACACCGATCCGAAAATGAGGCCCACGCTGCAGCGGGAGCACGATTCGGAACGAGTCGGGAGCAGAAATGAGGCCGGTGCCTCAGCGAGAGCATCACATTTAAAAAAGCGCAGGCGAAAACCCGTTTCCCGGGAATCCTGTGTGTAAAAAACAATACGCGAGGGGCGTTCGGCCCGAAAATGACGCCGGCGCCTCAGCGAGAGTCGTTTCCCGGGATTTCCCGGGCATCCTGTGTGTAAAAAAACAGAACGCGGAGAATGCGCGGCCATGACCCGGACGCCATCAGGGGAAGAGAGAGAGTATTTTCATATTGAGTAATTGTGGAGGAGGAGGAGGAGGAGGAGGAGGAGGAGGAGGAGGAGGAGGAGGAGGAGGGGGAGGGGGGAGGAGGAGGAGGGGGTGAGGAGGAGGAGGAGGAGGAGGAAGAGGAGGAGGAGGAGGAGGAGGAGGAGAGGGAGGAAGAGCAGGAGGAGGAGGAGGAGGAGGAAGACGACGACGACGACGACGACGACGACGACGTGGGGGGAACGGCAGCACGAGCGACCTCCGAACACCCACCCGTGTCTCGCCATCGCTCGGACGTCCATTCCCCGTGCATTACCCGGCCTCGCGCGTGCATTTGTCAGCAAGATGACCCAGAATGCTCTTCGATGGTTCTCGCCGAGAGGAACACGCACACGCCCGAGCGATGCCAAAGTGTTTGCATGGCCGATTCTGGAAACCCTGAGCCCAAAAACGTGTTCATCTCTTGGGGGTGCATGTTTTACTTCCGCCACCTTACGCCTGCCTTCCGCCGGCTTCCGCGGCCGGCGGAGGCGGCCTCGTCTTGCTGCCGCCGCCCTTCCGCCGAGGAAAAGATGACGAGCTCCTCCCCTCCTCCAAGTCAGGGCCCCTTCTGGAACGCCTCGCATGAAGGACACGCTGCTCCCGAAGCCTGTGCCCCGGGGCGGCCCGCTGCGAGGCCCTGGGCGGCCCGCGAGCCACGGGCGGAGGCGGCCTCGGCAGCTGGCCGCTGGCGGAGGCTGCCTCGGGCCACCGGCACCGCTGGGAGGCCCACTTCGGCGAGTGCGCCGGCGAGGGCGCGCTGGCGCCGCCCTTTGCGGTCGGGAGTCTTTTGCTCGGGGCGTGTCGTCGCAGCGGCCCCCGCGACACGCTGTGCCTTGCGAGTGGACGGCGGGTCGCTCGGCTCCGCGGGGCGGGAGGCTTGGAAGAGCTCGGGGCGTTGAGGCCTGGGGACGGGGAAGTGGATAATAGCGTGTTTCGCCGAAGCGTGATGGGCCAGAACTGGCGGAGCAACACGCTATCCAAGAGTTCCCGGCCCTACCCCTACCACCCATCGACTCTCCTGGATCGATGTGGGGGCGGGGGTAGGGCTCGGATCTCGCAACGCGCCCGACGAATCCCGAACCCTACCCCGGAGTCAATCCGCGGAGGGCGAGAACCAGCAGGGGGGAGCCATCTCCGGCGATTTGATTCCGAGGGGCTTGGCTACCATCTGTGAGAAGGCCGCGTACAGGGTGGTGGTGGACGACGTAAACCTCTGGGATGGAATCCCCCAAGGGGATGTCCGCGACCTTACGCCGCCCATCGAATTGCCTGCATCGTTGAACCGCGATGGTAGGGCTCGGATTTCGCCCCCGAGTCCTTGGGCGAGAGGGCGTCCGCCGCGAAGGCTGGCAGCAGGCGCCGGAGCCCGCGGGAGATGGTCTTCGGCGAGGCCGCGTCGGCGCTGTCCATCGTCAAGAGCGCGCTGGCGGACTGTGGCGAGAACGCCCCCCGCGGCGTGTCGAAGCTGTCCTGGAGGAACACATGAGCGACGACAAAAAAACGGGCCTTGCGCGAGACGACACGACGACCTTACGCCGCGGCTTACGCGGGCCGTCAGCGCGGAGCACTGCGCGGAGGAGAAAGCGCTTACCGGCGGCCTCACGCGGGAAGCTAACGCGCCATGTCTGCGCAGCTGGACCCGTTGACATTACGGCAAAAGCATGACATTTTGGAACACCACGTGGATTTATTGGGTCGTCGCGCTGGGTCACCCTCCCTGGCGCGCGGAGTGCGCCAGGGGCGGCGCCGGAGGCGCTGGCTGGGGGTGGCTCCAGCGCCGATCCGAAAAGTTCGCGCGGTGCTCAGAACGTTTAGGCTTTCTGTCATTATGTTTGTTCCCGATGTCCGTCGGCGAGAACGGGTCGAGGGACGTCGTGGGCGAGAAGGCCGTCGAGGGCGTGTCGGCGCCGTCCTTCGGCGCGTCGAGCTCGTCGGCGGTGTCGATGGGTGCGGGCGGCGGGCTCCTGCGAAGGATGCCGCGCAGGGGCTTCAGCGCTACCGGCGGCTCGGGCTCCAAGTCCTGCATGGGAGCCAGAAGGCCACAAGCATGCGGTGAGGGGATCGCACAAGAGGCTGCGAGGGCTCCTCGAGCGGAGGAGGGGAATGGGGGGAGGATCGGGGAAAGAGGATCGAGAAGGCCGTCGCATAAGGTTTGAAAGTCATCTCTGGCCTCTGTAAGGCCTCTGGAGGCCCCTAAAAGATCAGGGCAGGAACGCTCTGCCCTAATTCCAACTCTGGCGTTGACGCCTCCTTCCGGTCTGCACGGTGAGTGCACTGGATAAGGAACCGTTGGATAAGAAATTAAGGTCTGGAGGGCGGCAAAACTCCAATGGTGGATTGGCCATGGATTTCACTGCCGCTCGCATGAGACAACGAATCCTCCGCAGTCTGAAGCATCCTGGACACATCCCTTAATCAACACCCCCCCTGTGAAATTTCGAAGCTGTGCGCGGCTATCTTGGATCGGAGCTGGCACCCCTCCCTGGCGCGCGGAGCGCGCCGCGGGTGGCGCCGGAAAATATCTCCCAGACGCTGGTCCAAGGAATCCGCGCAGAGCTCCGAGAGTTTCTGCTTTTACAAGTATTGCTTCTCCTGCTTCAGGCCTGGAAATGGGCACCAACACCAATACAGAGGCTTGCCTCGCCCAGAGGGAACATGATCCTGGATCGCGTTGCTGGTGGGAATCTCTCGGCCACCTGAAGAGCTCGAAGGTTAACCCCGAAGGGTCTTGAATAAACCCCCGAGAAATAATAGACAAATCATAATTTTCCCGCAGGCGTCCCATTCCCTTAGGAAAACGTGCATATCTTTACATATCCGCCTCTTCGTCTTTCACACCTTTCAAGGCGGTCCAAGAGGCCCCCAAGATCACCCCAAGACGGCCCGAGAGACCCTCTAGACCGCTCAAAGACGGCCCGAGAGCGCTCCAAGAAGGCCCAAGAAACCCTCAAGAACTCTTTTTCGGAGCCCAGGAGGGCTCCAAATCGGTCCAAGAGGGGCCCGAGAAGCCCTCCAGCCAGTCCAAGAGAGCCCGGAGACGCCGAAATATCACTCCTAAACGCCTACGATGGCCTCAAGACGGCCCAACAGGCCTTCAAGACGCCCCAAGAGGTCCCTAAGAGGTCCTTAAGCGGCGTCCCAAGAGGGCTCCCACTAGCAGAAATCGTCCCATTCCCTTAGGAAAACGTGCATATCTTTACATATCCGCCTCTTCGTCTTTCACACCTTTCAAGGCGGTCCAAGAGGCCTCCAAGATCACCCCAAGACGGCCCGAGAGACCTCTAGACCGCTCAAAGACGGCCCGAGAGCGCTCCAAGAAGGCCCGAGAAACCCTCAAGAACTCTTTTTCGGAGCCCAGGAGGGCTCCAAATCGGTCCAAGAGGGGCCCGAGAAGCCCTCCAGCCGGTCCAAGAGAGCCGGGAAACGCCGAAATATCACCCCGAAACGCCTACGATGGCCTCAAGACGGCCCAACATTTTCAAGACGCCCCAAGAGGTACCTAAGCGGCGTCCCAAGAGGGCTCCCACAAGCAAAAATCGTCTCATGCCCTTAGGAAAACGTGCATTTTTAACATATCCGCCTCTTCGTCTTTCACACCTTTCAAGGCGGTCCAAGAGGCCCCCAAGATCACCCCAAGTCGGCCCGAGAGACCCTCAAGACCGCTCAAAGACGGCCCAACAGCGCTCCAAGAAGGCCCAAGAAACCGTTAAGACGGTCCAAGAGGCCCCAAGACGGCCCCATGATTGAGGTCCACAAGGGCAACCTGAACGGAAATTTTGAGCCTCCCGCCCAAACACGCCCCCGAAATGCCCCTACAAGCCCCCAAATAGCCCCACGAAGCCCCCAAGAGAGCCCCAAGAGGCCCCCAACAGGCCGCAAGAAAGCCCCAAGAGGCCCCCAAGAGACCCCCAGGAAGCTCCCAGGAGGCCCCCAAGATGCCAGGCAGACCCCCCCAAGAGACCACCAAGAGGGCCCACCCAGAGCCATCCACGAGGCCTCCCAAAGTTCCCAAGAAGCTCCCACGAAGCTTCCAAAGGCCCCCGAAACCCCCCAAGACCCCGCGATGGCACAATACGGGCCGGCGGAATGAGAGAACCGATTCAATAATAGACAAATCAAAACTTTCCCGCGGGCTTATTGACGGAATGGATTGGTACCTCAACAATCATTGAAATATAATTATTCCCCGCGGCGACCACCGAACAGGCCTCCGCTAAAGTCGCCGCCGCCGCCGTCGTCGTCGTTATCGCCTTCCTCCTCCTCCTCCTCCACCTACTACTACTACTACTACTACTACTACTACTACTACTACTACTACTACTACTACGACTACTACTACTACTACTACTACTACTACTACTACTACTACTACTACTACTACTACTACTACTACTACTACTACTACTACTACTACTACTACTACTACTACTACTACTACTACTACTTACTACTACTACTACTACGACTACTGCTACTACTACTGCTACTACTACTAGTGCGACGCGTACTACGACTACTAC